CATATTTCCTACCACTTATACTAATATGGCTAACAGGTTTGAACAAGTTCATGTGAAATAACTTTAAGGTCTAGCAGTCAATATATGATTCTTATTTTTAAATGATTTATGAGCATGTTTTCCTAACCTACTTGCATCTCATAATTTGTTACTAGATAATCTTATTTTGGTAATCCATTGACTAAATTCTTTATAGCTAGTTTGTGCAAGCATGACATACCCATTAGTATCATCACTAAGTATCATCTTTGTAAACTTTTAAATATTTAAATAAGCTTACAAATAAATAGTCAATTCAAGTATACAACAATAATAATAAGCCTTTATCCCACTACTTGGGGTCAACTACATGAATTATTTTCTCCATTATGTCCTATTAAAAAATAAATTATAATTTAAATATAATAAAAATGTCATTTCTTACACTTTCTAACCAATGTCTTTTTAGGTCTACCTCTACTTTTCTTAACATAGGCCACATCTGATACATTTACTCTCCTAATAGCATCATCAAAAGGCCAACTTTTTATGTGACCAAATCATCTAAGACTATATTTAATATTATATACCACTGGATCTATCTACTCTAACCTTTTCACGTATATTCTTATTTCAGATTCTATTTCTAAGTTTAAAGCCACTCATCTACCTGAGAATCCTCATCTAATGGCAAGAATTTTATGCCACTCACAACCATCTTATAATTTTTTTCCTAAAGTTTTAGAGGTATTCTTCAATCACATAATAGGTTCGATGCATTCCTTTACTTTAACCATCCAATTTGAATTCTAGTAATAATATCCCCATTAATTTCACCGTCATTTTGAATAATAGATCTGAGATATCTAAAGCATGCACTTTTTTAATGACATGATCACCCAATTTCACAATCCAACCACTAGATCTATTACTACTAAAATTACACTCCATAAATTCTAGTTTTGATCTACTCAAGCGAAAACCTTTAGACTATTGATTTGACCTATTAATATAACTTACCATTAAATTTAATCAAATATTATAAATACAAAAATTAGATGCAATGCCATCCATTACGAAGCTAGCTACTATTACTGATATTATGCTTTAATCCATCAACCATAAGACCTTCTTATTTACATTAGAGTCTTTAGTGATAATACCAACTCCAATAATTATTTTATTCATATTGTAACTAAAATACATATCCTTCATTTCTTGGCTCTAATGAATTGAATTTAGTATTGTTGCACATCATATGCCTTGAGCATTTATTATTGAAGTACCACATACCTTAATTAGTATAGGAGTGAAGTCCTACCCATAGAAGACATCAACCTATTAGTTTAGGAATTTAAATGACATTAGATCCCCAAATGCAATAAAATGATTGAATAATCTACAAAGGAGGTCTTCTTAATATTCATGCATATGTGAATGAAGAGTCTAAATAAACTGAGATGATCTACTCCTACAATTTGTAGAGATGTGATATAAACTCTTATATGTAGTGATCTAACTCGTGTGTGCATATAATTGATGTTGAATTTAATGTTTTCTATTCCTTTTCATGTTTGGTTCAGGATGTGCTACATTTGTACTAAACATCTTGTGAATAACATTATACAAATTATCAATTTTGGCCTTCGTAATCAAAATTTCCCCATATATTGTATCTCATAATAACGCTTTATTTTACAATAAATGTTTTTGAATAATATAACTACACTTATTTTGAATATTTGCATAATGTAAATTCATATTTACATGCTTATTTTAATGTTTGATGTTTTTTTTCAACTTTCATTTAAATCAAATATTGTGTAATGTAATCATCGTACGATAAAACATCATTTACCTCATCCATTACCTCTTTGATTGAGTTATTGATGGCTATTAAACTAATGTCATCATCCTAATTTGATGCATTCATGCTTGTTTATTCACTATTTGAGTTTATGCAAGTGAATTTTACTGATTTCTTTCTTTTCAATTGAAGTGTTTCTTTTTTGTTACTTTTATTGAGAAGGCCCTCATATATTAAAAGTGACCATACTTCTTGCAATTGTAGCATATTTAAATTTCCTTCTTATTACCTACAATATCAAACTTGTTTTATTTTTCAAAACAAAACTGAATTATCTTTCTTATATTTGAATCTATAACAATTTTTTTAGCTTTCCATGAAGATGAGTGCATATGGAAATTTTATCATTTTTTACTCTCTTCTCTAAAGAATGCATCACTCTATCTATGTCATGAGATTGGAGTGCCACATTTTTTCTTTTCTTCATTATGATATAGTCATTTATCTTTCTTAGAGTTTTTCTTATGCTCATGCATTTTCTACTAATGAACTATATAGCTAATTAATAGAATAATAATTTAATCTCTAGTTCTTTATATATTTTTTTTATCCCACTCTTAAAATAAAAGAGTGTAGAATCTTATTTATATATTATAGAATTTTTGTTCTTTACCCAATGCATTTAAAGCGTTAATGATCTTTAAGAATCTACTGAAACTCTTGTGATTATTTCACTGATCTTCATCCTGAATAATTCATATTCATACATAAAAAATTTTATTCTGATTTCATGTATTGAATTTGTTCTTCATAGGTAATCACAAATTTATCTTAGATCTCCTTATCTTCTCAAGTTACGTGTTTTCATGTAGTTGTAATATTTTAATACACATTATAAAGCTTTAATCCCTTTAAAAGACTTAACTCTAATTCTAAATGATATCATTTTTCTATTAGCTTAGCAGTTTCGACATGCTTAATGTTAGATATAGGTAGTTTGCATAGTTATAAAATTAAGTTTTGTATCCTCATATCACAATACTAGAGATAAACCATCGTCCATTTTTTCCCAAAAATCCAATAGAATTTGATCAAACAAAGGTGGACGAGTAGTAGAGTGGCTCTCACAAATCTTACCTCTGGTATGCTAGTGTGACATGACTGTGCACGTGTAATTTCCTTGAAAAGCAACTCTTGAATTTAGAGTAAATAATTGAATCAAGGCTTTTATTTGGTCCGGTGCAAGGACCTAGAGGAAGGTTCGGTTTTGCCTAAAAAAGTGCAAATACCGAGTTTTTTGAAAAAATACCGAGTTTTTAAAAAAACTCGGTATTTGCACTTTTTGACCTATTTTTGCCTAAAACCGAACCTTCCTCTACATCCAGTGAAAGGACCTAATAATTGCTCCAGATGTTGATTGATAGTTTATGCATAGCCCAAAATGGGGCAAATTAGACATTTTAAAATTTTAAGTCAAACAAAAACTAATTAGGCTGATTAGTTAGGATAAAATAATATAATAAAAGAAGACAAAGTAATCTATTAGAGACATAATGATTTTTTCATGGTTCTACTCATAATCCTATGTCAACTCTTAGGTGCAATAAGTTACTTTAGATTCTTGCAAAAAACACTCCTCATTTCCTCCAAACAACATTTACAAATATCTTCCATTAGAGGAATCATATCCTTTTACCTTAGTTGTGGGTAGGGGTGCAACCGAGTCCAGGGGTGCAAACGAGTCGAGTCGAGCTCGAGCCGAAGACTGTTCGAGCCTAGCTCGATTAATGCGCAGGCGGCTCGAGCTCGACTCGTGTGTCCGAAACCCGAGCTCGTATTAAGCTCGTTAGCTCGAGCTCGACTCGAGCAAAAGCTCGATTACAACTCGAGCAAAAGCTCGATTACAAGCTCGAATTAAAAAATCTTAATGATTTGTTTACATTAAAAATGATATTTTTAATAATATTTTTACCTTTACCCATTAAAAAAGAGTATTATAAGTTTCTTAAAAAAATATTGTTATCTCTACAAAAAATATTTTAGAAGATATATAAAAAAACACATGAAAACATACAGCAATATATTCCAACATTACTAGAATTGGAGATCGATAAAATTTCATTAAAAATTTACTAGAGAATGACTTAATTTACTCTCCATATATTCCAACAATAAAACAAATCATTGGCAGCCATTCTAATAGCATGACTTTGCAATCTCATGATAGTGAATGACTTTGCAATCTCACGGTAAATGTGAAACAGTTAAGAAGTTAATTGGAATTTTTAACATCACCATCATGACTTGTATTTTTCTCACATCAGCACCATCTATTTATTGTCAATATAATGTAAATATTGTATGATAATTACTTAATAAAACAAAATCATATGGAGACAATTTGCAGAAGCTGAAACTGGCCACCTGATACTGCAAGGAATACTACAAGGAATACAATAGCATGGCACTTTCCAAACAGAAATACTGCAAGGAATAGATTTAAGCAATCAGGCAGCCATTCCAATAGCTTGCCATGTTCCAAATAGAAGTACTGCAAGGAATAGAACCAGTTTCATAAAACATAAAAATAAAAATTTTCTTAAAGCTGCAAATTGATGTAGCTGCTATAATAACTTTTACAACATATGTAGAAATAAAGCTGCAAACAAAATAAAGTCTCGTGTATTGATAGTAGCCTTCAGTTGATCAAACACCATATGGTAGAGAGAATACAATCACCTGTAGCAATTTACATGAGACTTATGATTAAATAAATTAAGATGTCAGTACATGAGATTTATCATTAACCAAAAATTTACCATGATAATAATCTTCAAGCACAAGGTATAGGTATCTCAATTTCATCATCATCCTCCACTTCCTATAAGCAATTGCAAGGTATATCAATTATAAAATAAACATTCAACGAATTACATATGCATTACAAAAATAAATACCTTTATTCTTCCCTTCAAATCGTAGTGAGCACGAACCCAATTTGACCCACATATCAATGCCTGAACCGTTTCAATGCCCAATTTGGAACGATATGTATCAACCACTCACTCACCTGCTGAGAACGTAGATTCAGAAGCAACTGTGCTAATTGGAATAGCTAATATCTCTACTGCCAATCTTGATAATATACGATACTTGGCCTGGTTGCTTTTCCACCACCCAATAACATCAAATGTCTTACCGGGTGGACAAATCTCTAAACCATCTTCAAGATATTATCCAAATCTGATTTAGCAGGTTTCTTACTTGTTTTTTCGGATATATATGCAGTGAAATCATGCCATCCACTATATTTATTTGATACATCATCATGAGAAGTTCTTGAAGAACTACTTTCACCTTTTGAATCCTTCTTTCTTATTCGAAATGTATCACAAGCTCCTTTTGCTTCCTCTTCAAAGTTTGTTGTATACTCTTCAAACAGTTCATATAACAATGTACGAACATAGGAGATATTTTGACTACTTTGGTCACCATAGATCTTTGGATATGCAAACTCTATCACTAGAAATTTCATTCTAGGATCCATAATAGCACCAAATTCCATGAGCAGATTACATTCTCCCCAATATTTATCAAATTTTTCTTTCATTTTCATTGTCATATTCCTTATAAATTCATCAGAAGAAACAGACCTATCATCTATGACTTTTTTGATGGTACAAATTTGGGATAAAAATAGATTTGAAGTTGGATACTCAGTGCCAGAAATTATATTAGTAGCTTCATTGAAGAAACCAAGCACATCACAAACCTTCTCTATATTTTTCCATTCATCTTCTGTTGGACAATTGTGATAATTAACTTCCCTCTCACCATATGAAGTGAATGCTTCCCTTAGCTGAAGTGCCAAAGTAAGCATATTATAGGTTGAGTTCCACCGTGTTGGACAATCCATTATCAATTTTCTAGTAGGCAAATGTAATTGATGAACAACATCAGCAAATCGAAGTAACCTGCCTTCAGAAGCATTTAAAAAACTAACTGTATCTCGAATTTTCTCCATTACAAACTCAATACATTTAATACCATCTTTAACCATTAAATTCAAAATGTGGGCACAACAACGAACATGAAATATCTTCCCACCAAAAAATAACTTCTTCCTTACACGAAAGTTATCTTTAAGGAGTTTGATAGCACGATCATTATTAGATGCATTATCAACTGATAATGTGAATACTTTATTCTCTAAATCCCATTCATTGAGTGATTTGTAGAAAGTGTCAACTATTTCGGTAGCTGTGTGAGGAGGAGACAAGTGTAGAAAACTTAATACACGTTTCTGCAATTTCCAATTTGAATCCACATAATGGCCTGTGACAACCATATAAGATATTCTTTGGTTCTTTGACTTCCAAATGTCTGTTGTAAAACTGAGTCTATTTATATTTTTCAATGCATTCTGAAGCTTTTTTTTCTCCTTCTCATAAACTAATAAAACATCACTACGAGCTGTTGTTCTTGAGTATTTCAAAAAATAGGGTGACATAGTCTTCAAAACAAGATTGAAACCAAACTCTTCCACAACTGAAAATGGCTTTTCATTGATCAAAATATAGTGTGCAATACTCTCTCTAACTTTGCAATTATCATAAGAAAATGTTGTCAAACTACCACTCTCTTGTGAGTTATTAGCTGTAGAATCTATTTCCTTAGGTTGAAAATGAAGTACCTTTTGGTTTTTTATGAAACGAATTCTAGCCGCACAACGATCTAGATGACGTCTAAATTGTGTTGTCGACCCAGTACTTCCTATGGCAAGGGCCCTCTTACAATGAATGCATTCTCCTTTCTTCTGACCATTAGCAAGTTTTACTTCCTTAAACTCGTCCCAAACAGATGATGTCTTCTTTCGTTTTTTTATTGCAACATGATTTACTTCTTCTTCCTGCTCACATATGCCTACAACCTTATTTTCTTCCACTGTATCATTTTCATTCAACCCAATATTTGCTTGAACATTGTCAGATGGTACTTCATCTACAGTCTCCAAAATTATCTCATCACTAATATTATCTTCAACAATTGGTTCAGGTGACATCTAGAAGACAAACATTTAGGAAATAAAATAAAATTAACTGTCCAAGCTAACAATTAGAATATACAAATAAAAAGATGACAGCTAGACCTACGGGAGCCCTTGGAAAGCTGTTGAGCTCACCCTTGTTTTCTGGTGGTTTTCAGGTTCTGGGAAAGGGAAGGAAGTCCAGGACTAGATTTCAGAGTCTGATCAGTATAGGTACTTTTGTACTTTTGGTTTTGTACAGTCATGGCTTTTCTGTTCTGTCTTTCTTTCTGTCGAAAGACATGTACTGTTCTGTAGATGATTGTTTTGAGGAAATGAAATCGGATAGATGTTTTGTTCCGCTGCATTTGATGATACATAATAGCTCTGTGTTTGTTAGTCTGTGTGAATTAATTATTTGGAAGATTCAGTTCCGAACCAAATTCCAAAGCTAGATCCTGGTTAGTGCAGCTCCGTCGCGATCCAGCGCGGGCGGGATCCGTCTCGTCTCGGGTCGGGTCGTGACAAGCAATTCATCTTGAACTTCATCGAGTGTAATGGCACTAAAATCAAAGATGAATGGGAAGACCACAATAGGTATGCGAGTCTTAGGCTCCGTTTGGAACGGCTTTCTTACTGCTTATTAAAGCAGCTTTATAGAGCAAAATTTAAATTTTGCACTATAAAGCTACTTTATGAAGCAGCAAGAAAGTTGTCGCAAACAAAACCTTAATAGAGTTGGATGTGAATTTTGTATATATAATAAACGAAGGGGTGTTATATCATAAAATTCTTTTCATACATTTCCAAAGCCAACTTTCTTATTAGTAGGGTTCGAAAAAAAAAAAGCCAAAAAGATGCACTGAAACTAGCTTAAAAAATAGTATTGCTATCTTTTTAGTAAACTTTCGTATGACTATTTGTTGGAGCTTGAAACCTTTCTTATGGGTGCGTTTGTGCTAAAGATTAGAAATTGTCTTATGAGGTTCTATAGATGGTATCATTTCTACAGGCTTTGCAAATAAGAGCTCGATAGTTTTGTTGTTAGGTTTTAATACATATGTGCTTTCATGACCATAGTGCACTGCACTCATATCATACAACTATTGACTTGACTTTTGTTACACGTGCCCCTACTTGCTCACCAATTCTAGCACACACATTAGGTTAGGTGAAACTATTATGTGCGGATACGAACGCCGTCCGGAGGCAAATCAGAATGCGCCATGCCACCCGTTTACAGTGTACCGCTGTGTACTAGGTGACGTTACATATTCTAATTCGCCTCTGAATTATCCGGTGTTCGCACATAATAATTTCTTCTAGGTTAGACACATACTGATATGAGTTACCCTATTTTGACCTAACCGATATAATACTCAGTTTGAGCTGATCAGTTGCTTATTATTAGATGAAAAAAATGATTGAATTTGGTTAAATTTTTGTTCTTATTACCTTTCAAATGTTTGCCCTATGTGGATGGTTCTCCTTGTTTTATCTAGTACTTCAAGGAGTTTCTTCATATGGTTATTTTGGCTTCTCTGTGCCTACTCTCTTCAAGGCTACTTTGGTTTTGATATATTCAGGGATGTTTGATATGATTTGGATGGATTTCTCTATTCTCCTATTTTCCTACGACTACTACTTTTTTTGAGTTATGTTCTTAATGATTGTTTCTATTGGTGAATAATGTGATGGATATTCTTTTCATCGATTTTTGCGAGGCTTTCAGCAATGATGATTGCCCAAACTGAGTTCGAACATAGCTCAGGTTGGGCTGCAATTTCATTGAAGTTTAGATGCAACACTATCTATGCCCTTTTCAACCTTAGAATTTTTCCATCAATTTTTTTGTTCTCTTTTTCAGAGACCTAATGTTTGTTTACTCTTTTCACTTGGAGCTACAAATGAAATATTATATGCAATTTGATAGTTTAGTTTTCTGATCAATTTGCTCCTTGTTGTACCTTTTGTCTCTGTTAACATTACTATAGACTTCTGTCCTCACAATTCAAAAAAGAAAGCGATCATGGATGTACTGCTCAACAAAGCAACTCTTTACAAGCTGTCTTCTCTTTCAGCGCTGCTGTGATTTTCTATTAATTGGCCGGTTATGGACGAGAGATTATTGTGTCCGGACATCAAATGTGTCCAAAGATCAATAAAAAAGCACCACATCACTGGGCGCTCGATACGGCTCGATATGCTTGGTACGCTGTCTGAACACAATAGTTTTTCATTATGAACAATGATGAGTGGCATACAATTGGCTATTGGACTCTTGGAAGGTCATCTCAGCAACCAGCTATCTTGTCTTGGAAGATCATCCCCGGCAACCTTGGTTCCTTATTTTGGACTTCTGTAATTCTCTTTAAAAGTCTTGTAATCTTATTTTAAATATTGTTGCATCTGTTTGTTGGGAGAAATTATTACATGCCGAGTCCCCGTTATATCCGGACTCCAATAAAACATGGCATGTGTCCTTATACACAATATGTACAACTATACACACTATATACAAATTATAAAATTATATATATAATATGTAAGAACTTGTATACACATTTGTACACAATGTGTATAAATTTATGCACGCTGTGTACAAGGACATGTCACATTTTTATTGGAGTCCGAATGTAACTCATAATTTCTCGTTTGTTGGACTACAACTTCTCTTTGGTTTTTTCATTTCAAGTTGTAACAATTATTACACATGTGAGAATGGACTTTGCCCCCAATTTTCCAAAAACAAAAAAAAAAAACTCTTGATCCAAGAAAGTATCTGCAGCTGAATGATTGAACCAAAAAAAAAAAATCCCTAAAATTATTGATTCAAATCCATTACAAATTCCCAAAAACTAAGAAAGGTCCATTGCTGCAGAAAGCCAAATAAACAAAGTCTAATGAAGAAAGCATATATATAACTTACATAGACAAACCCTTCATAATTTACAACACAAAGGGCTTAGCCCCACCTTCCAGCATTCCATTGTGGGACAAAACCCTTCACAATTATTCATCCCTACTGATCCAAACTTCACTTTATTCTAAATTCCCTTTCCACGTTAAAAGCCAAACACTTACCAACCGATTCCACCACCACAAATTTAATATAACCAAAAGCAAAAAAGAAGACAAACGGATTCAACGGCTTTCTCTTATTCTTCCCCGACAATAGTAAAAAGTACTTACAGTGCTCTTTTTCTCTTCCTTAGCCATCAAGCTTAGCTTCCACTTCCAGGAAATACGCATCCATCGTAACCTGCAAGACAAACAGAAGCTTACAAGAAGAAATATGGATGATTTCCATTCAAATTATGGATTTCTAAGACGACTTAATATGATCAAAGTGTGGATGGAGAGCTGAGCTGAGCTGCCCAAAATATGTTTTCATCTTATTGAATGAATGATAATGTGAACGAATCATCCCTTTTCTCTATCTTTGCTGGAAAATGCTTTTTATTTTTCTGTTGGATGGATAACAAGTGATAAATGCTGCCCAAAATGCTTTTTATCTTTGCTGGAAAATGCTATTACAGCCCAAAAAGCACTGTAAGGACTAAGGAGAATTTATTCTGTTCAAAGTCCAGATGAAAAGAACCGTCCGGATTGTGAATGTACAAACTATGTAAAAAAAATTGATACACAATAAGAAAGCGGATATGATCAAAAAGTTAGAGCTGTAATAGCATTGCATGGAGGATATGTGATATATGTGCAAGTAGTCGCCACATATCCTCCATTCAACTGCTATGCAAACTTAGGCTTTGTTAGGGACGGCTTTCTTTCTGCTTCTTAAAGCAGTTTTGTAGTAGAAAAAAATTATTTTTTAACTAAAAAACTGCTTTGAGAAGCAGTAAGAAAGTCATCCCAAACAAAGGCTTAATTTGAGCTCTAAATTGAGCAGCAAAGCATTTTCCACGATCAAAATAATTAGGGAAGCTCCCTTCAGTGCTTCTACCGGGCACCCCCGCACATTTATAAAATATATTCTTCAATATATGAAAAATATATAAATTTAATAAGACAACTAAATTAAATATAAATGATGATTATACAAACTGAAGATTATTATTTTATGAAATTGCAAAAAAAAAAAAATTTATGAACCTTTTTTTTAAATACACTTCATATCCAATTAAAATTTTAATTCAAGAATGTAAGTCGATTTGTATCTTTAATAAAAACAAGTTTTTATCCCATTGCGAGGTTCAACTTCATAAATCTTTTTTTTTTTAATTCATTGTATTCTATTAAGGATAAAATTCTCATTTAAATCTAATAAAAATATCATTTTTAAAACTTTTTAACCAAGCCTTTTAGGTCTACCTCTCTCTTTCTTAATATAGGTCAAGTCTAATACAAATACTCTCTTAATAGGTACTCTCTCTTTCTTAATATAGGTCAAGTCTAATACAGGTACTCTCTTAATAGGGTCATCCCAATGTTTTATGTGACCAAATCATCTAAGACAACTCTCTAAACTTATATGCCACTATTGCTACTCCAACTTTTTCCCGTCTATACTTGTTTCGCAATCTATCTCCTAAGTGCAAAGCCAAACAACTACCTAAACATCCTCTTTCTACAACATTAGCTTAATTTTATATTTCTCATTTTAATGATAATCATTCTGCGCTCTAAAGTATTGCAAATCTCATCATCTCATAAAATTTTTCCTTAAATTTGAGAGAAACTATTCCATCAAACAATAGGACCGAAGCATTCCTCCACTTAAACCATCTAACTTGAATTCTACTACAAATATCTCCAGCTATTATACCACGACTTTCAATAATATGAGAGATTATTATGTGAGGAGGTCAGAAGCAAAGAACAGTTCGGTGATGAACAATAATTGTGCACTTACTGTTTATAAAGACAAAAGTGAACAATTCTCTGTATCTTATCTCCGCATGTAATAATCTCTCCAATGATAGATGCGGGATTTCTAAAAGGTACTCTTATTAATGACCGCTTGAAATTTTTAAAAGAAGAATTTAGTTCATACATAATTTTCAAAGAAATTGGTAAGAAAGGTATTTCCCGAAACAGCGAAGAAAAAATTAGTAAGAGATAAGTAGTGTTAATTTTAAAAAGAGGTGCTTACTGGGATTCTGGGATGTAAGAATCGCAGACTGCCGGAAATCGCAGTTCCAGGAATTCCGCCCAGCAACCTGGAACAGCTGATTCATAGCATAAGCTGCGTGTGATTTAACCGTATTCGGCTCAAAACAAGCACCTCCCGGCTGAATTGGAAGGCAATCCACCCCTTGTTGCGCACACGCAAAATCAAGATTCGCCTGCAACTCTTCCTCCGTCGCCCCCTCCTTCGGCACGCACCACCCTCCCGCCGCCACTGCCGGCGCAGCTGGCGCCTTTGTCATCAAACCCGCATCATATGTCATCGTCAAGTCAGGCCGGAACAACCCAAAAGACCTCTCCGACGTTGGCCCCGGTTTCAGATCCTCATCATACAGCGCAAAAATATAGGTCTCGACCGACTTTCCAGGCATCAACGGCGTCCCCACCATTGATCTCAGATGCGCAATCAGATTCCCGTTAAAAGCCCTAGCATTGTCCACGTTCGTTCCAACCTCATTCGCATCCCCACGGTACGGCCACCCTGTCTCGGCCACAACAATCTCGATCCCAGGGAATCCGGCAGAATTCAGCGCCGAGTGTATGGCATCTACCTGAGCGTCGAACATATTGGTGTATGTGATCTTACTGCCGGCGTCGAATCGGCCTGGATTGGATTGGAAGAGGCAGAATGCAAGCGTTTCGGGTCGTGGATCGCTGCGGTAGGCGAAGAAAGGGTAGGGATTGATCATGAAAGGGGATCCAGTCTTGTTGAGGAAGTCGAGGATGCCTTTAAGTGCCGGTGCGATGTCTGAGTGAAATGCGCCGGCGGAGGGGGGTTCGGATTGGGCGAGCACGGCCATGGAGTGTACGGAGGTGACCTTGATGGAAGCGGCGGACGGAGTGGACGAGGCAATGAGGGCAGAGCGTAGGTTCTGCATTGCAGGGAGGAGCTGGGATGCGACGGACGGGTCGCCAAAAGAGAGGGCTTCGTTTCCGACGGAGATTGAGGAGATGGAGGTGGAAGGCAGGAAGGGTTGGACGTTGGATGCCACCCAGCGGGAGGCGGCGGAGGGGTCACTGGCTAACGATGGGATTTCGCCATTGGCCGCGCCAATGACGGCGGATATTTGGGTGCCTGCGAGGGCGCGTAGAATGGCTGGGTCGGCGCCGTAGAGGCGGATTTTGCCGACGGTGGTGGAGCGGAGTAGTTGGATAGTCGCCGAAGGCGGTGGGAGGTTGTCTGCAACTTGCCCGTAGTTCACTCCGATGAAGGACTGTGAACCTTTTGAGTTCAAGAAAATTTGTTAAAATAACGTTACTATTCGAAAAATTATTAAAATAACTGCAATAATTCCATTAATTCAACTTATAGTTCCACAATAGCAGAATCCTAAGTGACGCTTATTTTGCACTAAAAAAGATTTAAAAAAAATAGCCAAATTGTGTGTTGGAGAAAAGAAAGAAAAAGAGAGGAGATCCGGCGTTCTAGGAAGAACTTCTATGCGGACTAATGTTCCAGCTGGAGCTTTGCCATAGTGATCCCTTTCTACTTCTCTTTCTTGGAAGCAGAAAGAGGAAGAAGAAAGGTGGATCGTGTAACATCATTGTAACAGAAAACTCTTTGCTGCTACTTTAATTCTCGTTCTTCGACGAATCGATAAAGATCTCAAAAAAAGGGGGAAAGAAAGCGAAAGAGAAGTTTACTTGCAGAGGAGAAAAAGAAGCTGAACAGTTGCATGGCCATTGCGAAGAAGAGGTGAGTGCTCGGCGCCATGGGAAGAGAGAGAGAGTGTGTGTGTGAAAGATGGAGATGATCAGATGAGGATGAAATAATGGAGTGGTCGATTTCGTAATAAAAGAAGAAGATGGGTGTGAAAGCGGGCTACAGAGGTCGACAAAGTGCGTTACTTTGACCACTGCCGTCAGTGGTCAGGAACAAGCCCACGTGGTGCACGGGAGTTCGAGCTGAGCATCTGGTTCCAGGCGTAGAGGGTGAACTGCGGTGAGCACACCGCAAATAACGGCATCGTTAAATAACGCCTGTGCAACGACGCCAACGTTCGTCTTTAACGTCTGAAATATCGCTGATTAATAATCAAGTATGGGAGTTTTAAATTTATTTATTTATATATTTTAATAAGGGGCATGTATGATAAGAGTTATTGTCAAAATATAAATTTTAAAGATAATAGCACTATTTATTTTAAAATAAATTTCATGTATAAAGAATCAAAAAATTAAAATTTGATCAAAATATTATGAATGATTTTTTCTTTATATAATTATCTAAATGTTATTTTTAATTTTTGTTGTCATAATTTCTTGAAAATTATTTTTTAAATCACTCTTGTTATTTTGTTTTTTCTTAAATCAAATTTTAGAAAAAAATAGAGGAAAAATTATATTTATTTTCTCAAATATATAATATTTCTGCTTATTGTTCTTTTTATAATAAAAATGCTGAAAAATCCGTCAAATCCAGGCGTAGAGGGCAAACTACAAGAACTTTTGAGCCAATTAGGATAAACTAACACTCATCATATACCCACCGCCGCTTAGTCCGTGAGGTGGAGAACCGGCTGGGCAAAGCACAAGTGCCTAGTTCGAATCCCCTGGATGGTAGTGTCAATCTTAACCGTCGGCTCGAGTAAATTTGTGTCGGTTGCCCGCTAGGTCAATCGAGATTTTAACTGGCCTATGGACAATATTTCATCGTCTCAAAAAAAAAAAAAAAAAGCTCCTACAAAAAAAAAATCTTGATTTACAAGTAGAGTAAGCATTTAATAATCACGTAGCTATACATTGCACTCTTGGCAACTCAGCTGAAAATACACAAAATATATAGTTTTTTAATGAGTGAAACAATACTGCATTACTAAATTATAAATTGCCACATATAGCCGTTAATACAATTGAAATTTTAGTGGTTATTAGATGAATCGACAGTGGAGGTGCGCTACTAATTTTAGGAGTTTTTACATCACATCTAAAACTATAATAATTATATATCTAGCATCCAAATTATAGTATTTATATACCCATCATCAAAATATCATCGCATTCATCTAAATCACCACTCCATTAACCACCATCAAAAACCCTAACATGCCTTTCGCGCCTAATACCTCTCCTTCTTCGCTCCAAAGGCGAGCACAAAGCCAGGCATTCGCGTCTGAATAGGTATTAACTCCTACCATGGGCGGATCCCTACTCATGTGAGGGTGGGCAAATGCCCACCTTCAAAAAAAAAATTAATGTACAAGAGGGGTAATTTTGAAATTCCGCGAAGAAATGGAGAAGACAAACAGTAAACGTAGACGAAGAAATGGAGAAGACGAAGTGGTGAGGCGAACGACAATTTCCGGACGAAGAAGAGCAAAGCGAGAGGAGAAGACGGTGTAGGGTGTGGTTTGACGGGAGGTAATGTGAGTAGTAGTTTAGACGAGGAGAATGATTTGTTGTTTGAGTGTTAAGTATATAATTATAACAATTTTAGATGCTATGTATGGAAAAACCCCTTAATTTTTACATGGTATATACTATTCTTCCATGAAGCTGTGCACTAAGAGATATCTTCCCTGTTGATGGTCAACATGTGAGCAAAATGACGCTTGTCATGCTATAAGTTAAAATATTATAAGAAATAGCTGATGCTAGAAGAGTAGTTTGTATTATGAGAATTATGGCATAAATCAAAGTTACATACCGAAGCTAAGCCCTCTCAATTGTAGTAAGCTGAAGCTCTTCTCAGGTAGAAGATCTCCCACAGCTTCCAATAAATTGCAAACAAATGAACCTGCTTATTCTACAAATAATTCATCGAAAGTCATAGCTTAGTATAATCCATCAATAATGAGAGCCTTCCGACAGCTTTCTTAATGCTTTCTAAGTCAGAGTTTTAGTTAAAAAAAATTTTGAATTAGAATTTTTTGTACTAAAACACCGTTTTAAAAAGTAATGAGAAAGCTGTCCCAAATGAAGCCTTACATTCAACTTTTCTCAGCAAGGGGGCAAAAAAACAGCAAAAGAAAATAAAAAGGTGATATCCCTAACAGGTAAATATCAATGTTAATACAGCAGAAAACTTGAGAGAGAAGTTTATAGCAGTCCGATAATGGCACTAAATATTTCGAAGATCGCTTTATTTAGACTACAAAGAGACCTCAGTAGGACTTTACCTGTATGATATTACAACTACTATACAGCTTTTTCCTTGAGAAAAAACAAATGTTAATGGGTCTAGAGTTCACTGGAGCAGAGGCATTCATCAACGAGTTGACGCAGGCTGGGATTCTCGAGGGCAGCAGCAACTCTCTCTTTGTCATTCAGCTGCTTGTTAACTGCATGTTCGAAATTATGAGAATAAAAAATCATGCATTATAAGTTTTGTCAAGACCTGTCCCAATAAGCTCGAGTAAATGAGGTGGGAACGAAAGTCGGACAAAAAATTTTAAAACATAGTTCCAATATTATCACATGAACAATCACATATCTAACATACCAAAACGATCGAAATTTCGTGTAGGATTTTATAAAATTAATTGCGTCAAATTCTGACAACTTCAAAAATTCACCTAATTTCATCGCGGTGCATTGAGAGGCGTGCGACGGTTACAATTGACATTTTCGGATTTTTACAAGTTATGTGCATGAGAAAAAAGGAATAGATGGAGAATGAGGATTCATAGGATCAGCCCAAATAATTAAGATAAAGCTAACAATGATGATGATAATTAATTTTTTAGTAAAAGTTAAGCCCAGTTCTGCTGCTTTCAATCCAATCATGAAAAGTAGGAAATGCTTATAAATTTGTAAGGCTCAAGGCAAAATTGATCGTTGCTTGCCAAACTGAAAATTAAAATAACGTTCAGTCCATGTATAAAATTACCAGGAAGATAAAACCACAAAAATGTACAGAAGAAAATAAGATTCTGTGCTTTAATGATGTTGAAAACTATCATTCAGATATTGAGCTTCTTTCCTGAAAAAATTGTGGTATGCATTGAGATTACAGTTTTCGTTAATAGCGTGCACAAAACCAATTTGAAAATCAAAGTCAAAGCAAAAGCACAAACTGAATTACTTCCTCCAAAGGAAACATGATTTGTAGCTGGGGCTCAGCTTGCAGTAGAAACTTTGACCCCTTTTAATTATCCTCCCTAATAGATAATATTATAGTCGATAGTTCAACTATGATCAAGCAATTCTTCCGCTCAAGGGACTAATAGCCGATGTGAAGAGCTCTCATATTAAAGGTAAATTGTAGGGTTTAGTTTCACATTGATTAGTTGAAAAATATATTAGTTTATAAAATATGAAGAGATTGGGTTTCACCGAAAAGCTTAAGCTTTTGAGTTTAAAAATGGTTTAGTGACTAGTGAATTTGACCCAACTAAAATTCACATTTGGTTATCCTCTCTAACAATAGCCAATGAGTAAAAGTTGGAGATAATGCGGAATCTAAAAAAGTTAGTATAGTGATAAATCTTCGAGCAAAAAGACTAATGGAGTCAAAAGAATAACACATGAAAGATATTAAATACAAAACACAAATTTACATGATTCAGTAAAATTAACATATATCTATGATCATAGAAGTTAAAATATTTCGCTAATCTTTAAAAAATATACATGGATAGATATTACACTTCATATGAATTAAAATGGATACCACTTTGTTTGTATTACCGAATGAGAGAAAATACAACCACCTATTATGAAGCTGAGGATTGAATGTGGAGAATAAAGCATTGATGCTACTTCTCAAATTTATTCTTTACTATAAGAATTTGTTCCTCTTTTCCTTCTCTCTTCCTCTTCTTTCCTACTCTTTATTTGCATGTGCTTGTGGCATGTTTTACTAGTGAGGATTGCACGGCTTTATCTAGTAAAGAGTCCGCCTTCCAATTTAATGATGAGCCGCCATTGACGATTATTTTAGACTATGTTGTACACTTTTATAGCCTAAATTATAGAATTTTGTAGTAGCTCTCATAATTTAACAACCAGCATTCAGGACTTAATAAAAATAGCCACTATTTTGAATAATTAAAAATTGGATAAATTTTTAAACTAGGTATTATTAAAAAAAAAAATTTAAAAAATAGGCAAAGTCGCCCATCAAATGGGCGACTTATGCTCAGTTGTCAATAGCCGAACTTGCTACAGTAAATTCTAAAAAAATAATTTAAATATAAAATAGGTAGAAAATATATTAAATAAATATATTTTAAAAAATAATTTAAAAATAAAAATAGACAATATATATATAATGCAAGGGCAAGATTGTGTACATCAAACCCTTCCCAAATCCCATACTGACAAGAGCTTCATGCATTAGATATGTGATTTTTTTCTAATTATTTGAACCATGCATAGCATACAGTAATCAAGAGTTAAGGAAAATTATCACAAAGCTTAGTATGGTGCACTGCAGCACTCAAAAAATCGAGATTTAAGGAACAGGGTCCCCAAAAACAAAATCATTGATACATGGGTCAAAAGTTGAATCAAGCATTCCAGGCATACAGACAGCTGCCAAAGTTTGTATGTCCGGTATGCTTGATTCAACAAGAATATTACTTTTGGTATTAACATCAAACCTCTAAATAAATGTATAGCTTATATAGTGGATCTACCTGGCGTGAATCCAATTTGATTTTGAGAAATATTAGTATCACGTCGTAACCTATGTTCAATAACTCTCTCCCAAAATTTTAAAGTATGACACATTAACTTAATTCTCTATAATTCACACACTCTTGCAAATCACCTTTATTTTTGTTAAATAGAAATCAACACACTCTACCCATCTAGCATCTTTTTAGTCTTCAAAATAATATTGAAAAGTTTCATAAGCCAAAAATAATTTCTTCATCTCCTAAGCATTTCCACACCTCTATTGAAATATCATCGGGTCCAACAACTTTTCCACAATTTAATTTCTTTAAAGCCTCTCTAACTTTGGTTTTATTAATACACCAAGAAAAAAAAACTCTTTTTTCATTTAGAGTATTAAGGATATAAAAAGTAAATCATATTCTCACAATCTTCATTGAAAACTGATCATAATATCTTACCCACGTTTGTTGAATATCCTCTTATAATAAAAGAACTTTTTTATCTACATCATTAATGCATTTCACTTAAACTAAATCCTTATTTTTCATATCTCTTTGTTTGACTAACTTATACAAATATCTTTCACCCTCCTTAGTATCTAATATATTATATAATTCATTAAAAGCTAAATTATTTGCATCGCAATTTGCTTTTTTAGACTCCTTACATGTCTCTTTATATATTTCTCAATTTTAAGGGCTTTTACACTTAAACCAATTTTTATAACAAAGTTTTTTATTTTTTATCTTTTCTTGCATATTTTGATTCAACCACCAACTTTTTTTTCTATTAGAGATTTTTACTTTTATGTTCCAAACATATCTTTTGCAACAACATAATATCACTAATTATTTTTTCTCACATAACATTAACTTCCTCATGCATAGTCAAAATCTTAATATCTTGAAGCTTACTCTCAAAAATATTTTTGTTTGTATTTTTTAAATGCCCCCGTGTAATCCTAGAACAACATTTACTTTATTTTTCATATTTCACCCCTTCATCATAAATTCCAAAACTAGTAAGTGATGTTGAGTACATAAACTTTCACTAAGAATAACTTTACAATCTTTGCAATATTAACGGATGTGGAAAACTTTAACACTGTACCCGGGCGCCAGTGCAGCATCCCTTGCACACTTCTTACTATATTCAAGTCAATGCATCACTTCTAGGTAATACCCTAGCATTAACATAATGTATTAAAGGATTCATATCATAATGATTCGACTAGTTTTAAGTTGATTGTCGACTACATAACGCAACCAACCACTTCTCTCATCCAAGGCTTGAGACCTGGCTTAGGACCAAAGAATAATAGATAAAAATGAGAAAAAATGTTAGCCAGCTTTATTTTTTAAACTTAGGCACACATCACCCAAAATCCTGAATTATATCAGGATGAGAGATATGAAGTTGTGCCCAAGTTCTGTTGGACCTGAAGTAGGAATCATGGAATTGGGTTAACTAGATTTTGCTTTGTTCATGTACCTAAACCAACTACATTAAGAGATCAGCAGTACTGCCCAAGTTCTACTGCATGAATTAGAATCATACTGATTGTTTGAAGTACCTAAACCAACCAACATGAGATGCATCCATAACAAGATATGAAAAAATTCACCAGCATCAGAATAGATAACAGCCGAACTAACTTCTAAATATGTGAAAGTTGTCAGGATTCCAAGTAATAACATTTAAGAGACTATGAAACACCTGATTCTTCATCAGCATGAGATCCTGGGGATACATTGATATCAACCTGCAAGATTGAATATAATTTCTAAGTATTATTTATGGCTTCTGATAGCAACAAAGGAAATGTAAGGACAAAAAAGAGGTAATATCCTAATAAAGGCAAATTGAATAATTCACACTGATCTGGTATGCTTTCTCATAGATATTCAAAGCTAGTAATAAACCCAAAATATCAAAGCAATATGCAAAGAGCTTTCTGAAGGAAATCTGAGAATGTATACTCATCCGAAGGATTGAAAATTAACTTTAAATTGTATTATATTTTAGTTTGCATAGTATTTCTTTTCAATTTATGTTAAACAAGCCTATGCTGCTGGACATAATGAGAATGAGTTGTGTTCTCCAATATTTCAGCTTCCTCGTTAGGCTTCCTTAACAACAGCAAGGCCTAATTCAATTAGCATCATAAACAAAATAGGCTTAAGCTTTCATTGTTTCTATTCTATAGGATTTCATTATTTGTCCATGAGTAATTTTTTTATATGATTTTTTTTAAAAGCTTCCTACAGTTTCCTTATACTGCCTCACGTGATTTTTTGCTTGTCTTTAACCACCTACAATCCCATATTTACCTCCTTGTCGCTATTATACTGCAGACCTAGATTTTCCCCTATGTCAGCTAATGCTACAGTCAGAGAATCCAATTGAAGCAATCCCACAATTGCTGCTTCACACTAACGTCCAATATTCGAAATTTTTCTTTACATTTCTTCCGCTAATTACTGCAGTCCCAAACCATCCTCCTTGTCGCAGCATTGACTCCTCTGGTTTTCCTTTTATGGTTGCATTCACATGGAACCTAAAAAAACTAAAGCTGATTTCTACTGCTTATGTTATAAAGGAATTAGAACTTTTCCTTTTTTTTATTAGATCAAGGAGAACTTTGAAATGTATTGGAATCTTTGTGGGCTATAAATAGAAAGTTGAAGCATGTAAAAATGATAAAAAATTAGGTATTGAAATATTATTCCAAATTTCATCAATTCTTGTGAGGTTACTAGTTTGATGTATATTCTTCAAACGCTTTACAAGTATTGCCGATTAATTCGAGGGGTGAATTATAATACTCAAAATGTTCAAAATAAATATAAGCATAAACTTACTCTAAATGTTAATTTATTTTCATTAAATTCTACTTTTAATTTTGAGCATTTTGATATATAAAAGTAAAATATCAATCTAATTGTATATATGTATAGCTATTCAATTAATAGTTGTTTAATACTTAAGTAATAGTTAATTAAAAATTTAGTAATACTCAATTAACAGTTCAGTTATGTAATATTTAAGTAGATTTAATTAAATGCATCTACTGTAGCATATTCAAGCATGCATCGGTTGATGAGATCCTACGGCTGGGAGAGGATGAAAGGTTAGTGGAGAATGCATTATAATATAATAACATTATATAGGTTAAGTTAAAGGACTGAGCCACTGAAGCCTTAACATTTCATTTCCTTCCTTCCACTGCCCGTCCTCTGCAGTCTGAAGCTGTGGCTGAGCGGGGAGTTGGAGAAGGAAGCGGGAGTTGTTCATGCATTGTTGCAGCATACAGCTGCTGTGAAGGAAAAATTCATAGAATAGAGTTAAGGAAAAATAAAAAAGAGCTAGTATTTTTTCTGAAATAGTATTTGCTGAAGTTATGATTGCTCAAATCAGTCGACTATTGTTGAATTAAGCTAAGGTAAGAGCTATAGTTGCTGAAATCAGTATTTGGTGATGAACTCATTGTGTGAAAAATCTAATTTTGCTGAAACATGCTGAAATTATAGCATAGGGCTACTGTAGGCTGCTGTACATTACTTAAATCAGCTGCAATTACATAAGTTGGTAAGGAAAAGGAAGAGGAAAAGCTAAGGGCAGGTAAATGCATTGTTGTTTGTTTATATTATGTAATAATGGTTGCTAAAATTCATGTCTTTGTGCTGAAAACAGTAAGTTGAATATAAGAAAATTCAGAAAATAACAAAGAAATAAAAAGCAAGGGAAGTAGAGAGGAAGAAGGGAGTAAGAGGTGAGATTTTGGGTTGAATGAGTTCATTCCGGGTAAATTTTTATATAAGTTGCGTTATTTTTATATGCTTTATGTACGCATCATGCACAAGTGACGAAAACTTATGCTTTAGGTGGTATAAAAAAGGAAAAGGATTCGGGATACTTTAGGTGAATCAGTTTACCCAATTGTTCTGGAAAACGATATGAGATACCCAAACGATGTCAAAGGAATTAATAAAATTTTGTATATTTGCAATCTCACACTTGTTATGTTTATGATAATATTTCATTCCAGTTTGTTCATGTATAAAGATGTTGAGTCATTAAAAAGTGATTTTGTTAAAAGTGAACGGTATTGAAAGGTTGCAATAAGTCATATATGGGAGATAAGCCCGCACAAGTAAAGGCGAAAGACCTAATGAGGTAAGCCTACATTCTCAAAATTCTAAAAATTGAGAATTCGGGCCCAACCTTAAATTAGAAAGCTGGAATGATGCAAAAGTTTATAATCATCTAATGACTTATATAAAAGTGTTGAACAGTAAATAGAACATAATGTGATGTTATGTATTTCTTATGTTTAATGTGAAAATTTACATGTATTTTACATTAATTGTCAACATGTTCATTATTATTTCTTATACATTGTTCGTGTATTAAAGCTAATGAACATCAAGAAAGTAAAGCTCATTAATCGCTCAATATGGCTCGTTTGTTTATAGCTCTATAAGCACGAAACGAATCAAACACAAATCAAACATGAACATCTATCATTTTAAGTAAATCAAACTTGAACAAAAATAAAAAAGCTCGAATCGAGCTTGAACAAACCGATAATAAACAAGCTCAAACATAAAAAGGTACTTGCTCAGCTTAACTAGATTCATTTGAACTTACGCCAATGAGTTACAAGTCTTCAGTATTTCCTTGCCATCTTTTTAATAATGAGAATGAGCCGTAATAGATACTAGCATTATATAAGGACAAAAGACACCAAATTTTTTATATCCTACGATATGATAAAGGCTTTAGTTTCTCCCCATTTTATATGATAAAAAACAACAAAATTTTAAGTGCGTTGTCGAAGATCTTTTGACAAATAACAGGGATGGGTTAATACATGTAATCAAACAAGACCGAATTGTTCCTATCAATGAACCAAGCAAGAGTATTTAGAGTAGGATAAGAAATAACATATATCTCACTAAATTTTGAGAACTGCACTTTATTTTACCAAGAAAATAACTCCTGGATTGATGTTAAAGCAAATATGAATACACAAAATGAGATAGTCCAGAAAAAATGAAGTTCATATCGATGGAACATAATTTTTTCATAATTACGGTGACAAATTTCTTCTTAATACGTGTAAACAGGTGAGTCCCTAACCTTGAAATGTAGAGGAAAAGACTGCAATAGCTTTACTCTCAGACACAAACCGATAACTGTTGCCATGCTGCAATGCTGAACAGTTGGGGTGAAAGTTATCCTACAATATATACAAAGCAGTTACTATGACAGTGGAATAAGAAGCGTTCTAGTATGAGTAAAAGCTTAAAATAGTTCCCCAACTATCAATAAATGTACAATTTAGTCTTAAAGTTTGCATTGCCCTATTTTAGTCCCTCGACTATTAGAAATTGAGTCAATTTGATCCCTAACCATTTAAATTAATGGAGAGAGCCGGAGAGGTTCGTTTCTTTGGGTGCATTTAAGTAAAATATCTTAAAGTTTGCATATTCCTTACACTTTCCCGCTAGACGCCATGGAGACCTTTCTACGTAGGAGACGCGAACGACTCACGTTGACTCGAGAAAGACGACGCGACTGAGCAAGCAATGTGAACAAGCAGACCGGGCAAGATGCGATGCGGCATGCTTAGACGCGAGCCAGACAAGCGATGGCAAGCAATGTGCGACATCCACAAGACGGAGCTAGGTTTGTTGTTTCTCTTGGCCTCAATTTTATGCTATTAATTCAGTAATGGAATGGTGTCTTGTTCATAACAGCAAAAAATTCATCGAGGAAGAGGTCTTTTAATGAATTTTTTTTCCTTCTTATCTGATTACAGAGTGTTTTTTATAAAATTTCATATAATATAATTTACAGGAAGCGTATGAAACTCAAATTTTGCTTTCATCTTGAATTTCCAAATCAAAATTTCTCATAAAATGCCCATTACATAAAATCAGATTTGATTTTTAACATACTTACTATTTTTCCATTTATTACAGCTTAAAAATTTACAACCTTCAAAATTTAAGAGTTTGCTTCCAAACCTTCTAACTCTGCATTGAATCACATACACCCTACATTATGCATTGTGTAATGAAATGATCTTATAGTTTTAAAAATTTGTTTAGATGACTATCTAACTGAGTTGTTCACTAAGTTCCACACAGAAATTTTGTGAATTTTATGAGTGGCTTAAGACTAAATGATATATCCTGTTTATTTTAGGTAAACTAAGAAATTGTTGGAGAGTTGTCCTATATATAAATTATTCTTGTTTGAGCAAATATAATAGAATTTTTTAATATTTTTGTGAATTGTGATCTTAATCATTTTATATAAATGTTAAAATATATAAAGCTTGATGTTGTTGTTGGTGGTGGTGTTGTTGTTAAAAAAATTAAGAGGAAAGAATTTAAAAATATTCATGGTTACTACATGGTTCATCTCTAATAATGGACCTCATTAAGTATTTTTTTAGTACGTCCACTCGACCTCAGAGAGAATCAAGAAATAATATTTGATCTCAAGCTTTCTTCATGAACCTGCAGGAAAGAAAGTGTATGAGCTTAATAGAAAAAAAACAAGAGGGGGGAGAGAGAGAAAAGAGAGAACACAAGAAAGAAGGTTGAAAATGAAGGACACAAAGTATATTTAATTACTTGTAATTTAGAGACTAGCCCCATTAACTCAATACAATCTTCTAGTAATGATAAAACAGAGCCAAGTAAGCAATTTTATCCCAACATCCACTTATAATATCTAAAATACCCGCCTATTTAACTTTTGAAGTTAACTTTAACTCCTTTAGGTTCTGAGACCAAAGTGGCTCAATTTTTAATAGTCAAGGGACTAAAATGGGGCAATGTGAAATTGACTAAATTGAACAAATATTGATAGTCAGGGGACTATTGTGAACTTTTACTAGTTCTAGTACAATGGCAGTTGTCATAAGAATTTTTCCGATGAACAAAACAACATTACACAAAGAAAGGAAAATAAAATAGAGAGTAATATGATTGCAGGAGAGAGATCCATTACACAATTCATGATCATATTATGCTAAGTACATAATTTGGGCAATATCACCGAAATTTATACTACAGGAAAAAGCCTCAAAGTTTAACTAGAAGATAAGCATGATAGTGCAGCAAATATCTTGGCAGTCACTTAGGCATGAGTAATAAATTCTGGAAAAAAGATGGAATCACAAATGCTATAAAAAGAAGGTGAAAATAGGCCAACATATGGATTAAATGAAAAAGGAAATCACATGCAAGGACCTTCTATCTGCTGATATCGAAGTAAGATTTTTTTTTAAAAAAAAAAGTAACCATCAATTAGGTGACAAAAATCAACAGATATAAAAACGATTTTCATATTAGAGTCAACCCTTCATCCAGAATTCAAGCAATAAAATTTTGCTGCTATTTTATAGTTTCTTCCAAATAATGGACAGTATAGTCAGCAAAGAACCCTCTTCCTAGTTTTAGCCAGCTTCATTTCCAGAGTTTTACATACTCAAAGATTTAGTATGCATTTGCTAAGGTACAAGAAGGAGCATCAATCAATGGCACGAGCAACCAATGAATATGTTAAGGGATACCCTAGCATTCAGATATGAACTAGAAAGTCAATTAGATAATAGACATCAATTTACATAAAAAGAATTTCAAATCAAGATCTACACAAGACTGCGTAGAAAACTTGAGTTGCCAATCGAAATTGGCCTGAAAAAACCAAAATAGGACTTGAGTCACCATAGGAAATCTATATAATTTGTTAGGTCATTTTGGATTGGGTAACGTGCAATGTTGTTGGTTGATATGTCTTCACAATATAACTTCATAATATCTTCCCATTTTATTCTCAAGTCGTTTAAGATTATTTCAATTCACAATATTTTGCAAATTAAATAGGACGTTGTTCAAAATTCAACTTCAGCATCAGATCTGGAGACTACTAACTGCTTCTTGCTTCTCCAGTGATCAGATTTTCTCACATAACGGTGCAATAACTAGTAGGTTTTCTATCTATGAGGTATCTTGTTCAATTAGCATCCATGTGGACCATGTATGCTTCTAAGTTGAATCTTTTATTTTTCTTAAATAAGATTCCTTTCTCTAAAGTTGCTTTGAGGTACTTAAGTGTTTTATATGCAGCTGATCAACGTACTTATTTGGGATTATGCATAAATTAATTTAGAGAACTTACAATATAGGCAATCAACCTTTGATAACTCCCTTGATCAACTTATGGGTTGTCGCCTGCTTATCCAAGCTTATTGCAATAATCAATTCGAATTTCTGAAAGCTTGAATCCCATCATACCTACTTCAGTTAGCATATTCAGGATGTATTTTTATTAGAGTTGAATATTCCAACAGTTTAGTAAGTCACTTCTAGTTCAAGAAATATTTAAGTGTTCTTAGATCTTTCACTTCAAATTATATGGATAATTGATCTTTTATGATCATCATTTATTCAGAATCATCGCATATAATCTTTTCTTCCAAAATAAATAGAAACTTGATTTTTCCTTTCTTGAATTTTTGTTATAAATAAAGTGTGATCTCCAAGACTTTGTTTAAAGTTGATCCTTTAAAGGCTTTGGAAAACCTCCCAAATCGTGGTATTTAAGATTGTTTGAGCCGTATAATGCTTTCTTTAATCTATACATGGTTAGTATTGAATCAATGATTAAAACTTGTTGGAGGTTCCATGTAGGCTTCTTCTTCTAAGACATTTAATGCATTTTTAGATCTAAATCTTGTAACATTGGCGGTTAGCAGGCAGAAGTCTGGCAATTGTGGCCAAGCAGAGGTCCAACAATAGTCGAACAGAGGTCCAGTGGTGACAATAGGGCGGAGGAGGTATGATGGCAACAGTCAGTAAATGAAAGTTCAAACGATGGCGGTCAAGCCCAAGTCTGGCGGTGGCGGCCGAGCAACAAGAGTTCTCTGGTAATGTTGCTCAGGTGGAGCTTCAAAATTCTTCAAGCCTCAAAGCTATTTTCCCTCACTTGCCAAGGGTCCAAACTCCCCCTTCATGTAGAGAGTGGATGCTAGTTTATAATTTTTTTGGAATGGCATGCCCCGCAAATGTGGAGAAAATCTACAGCACTCCATCGGACAACCTGTATTGATTATTTGGATCATAGATCATTTTTTCAGCATTTAGATGTCAAAATGAGTTGTAATCAAGCAATCTTGGGCATGTTGGATTCGTCTCATTGAGACATTCAGTTTTACTATAAGTTTGTTGAAATCGAGGTTTGGATGGTCTTTAATATAATTTTTGAAGTTATCAATTCAATTATATCTCGAGATTCGTGCCCAATCAAGTGCTTTTGGTAACGTGCCAACGAGTAATTGCCCTGGTAGTAATAGACTGAGACGAAGCTAATAAAAAAACAAAGTTATGTTTGCCAATTGCGGCAGAAGCACATTGAACTCAAAGCTTCAATTTTGCTCGTTACAAAACAACAAGAAAACAACATGTTATAATGAGTGTCACAAGTTGGCAAAGCAAAGCACATGTTAACGGTAAACTCCACAGTAAAACATACTGAATTCGGCCGAGCTTTTTATCTACAGTAATGGACTCCTCGGAGAGAACGCTGAGCTGCTCGAGAGAGTAGGGATGCTCCGGATCCCTTATATCCCTAACGGAATCTGGATTCCTTCTAGTCAAGAAAAGTTATAACAGGAAGCAAAACAAGAAATTTTTCTTTATCAACGCCTAATTGAACACCAATTAATTCCCAACTTCCAATAACCAAAAAGGGGAAACGAAAATAAAGTTGCAAATGGATTACTTTCGGAACTCGATGGAATCAAAAGTAGGATACCAAAGACATCAAGGGAATCTACTGCATCAGCAGCGTGGTTATCCTCGGCGCGGACGATCCTCTCCTTCTTCGCATGGACTACCGGATTCGCGTTGATCAGCCCCAGCGTCATATCCCACTATCTTTTTTTCTCTCTCACTCTCTTTCCTGAATTCAGACTTTACTCGCGCTGCTCTAGAAAGAGAACTTTTATTTGGTCCGGTGCAAGGACCTAGTAGAAATTCTGTTTTGCCTAAAAAAATGCAAATATCGAGTTTTTTGAAAAAATACCGAGTTTTTTGAAAAACTCGGTATTTGCACTTTTTGACCTATTTTTGCCTAAAACCGAACCTTCCTCTACATCCAGTGAAAGGACCTAATAATTGCTCCACGTAGGAAACCCCACTCACCCGATCCAACTCCACACTTCCAAATTTCTTTAAACCAATAATCCCTCTGGTCTCTTCAACGAATCTAGCCAACCCTTCCTTCTCCTTAGCAGACCACAGTATAAGCCCTCCTCCCCTTTAAGTGAAACTACAGTTGCAGCTTTCTTCCTCAAGAATAGGTGCTTTCCTAACCTCCTCTCCAGGGGAAATTGTTGGGTTCGGACACCGAACGATATCCGGAGCCAATGAAAATGCGTCACATCACCTCCTACTCGGTACTGAATTGCCTAATTAATTTTTTTATTTTAAATTATATTAATTAACCTAATTAAACTAATGACTAATTAAGAATAAATCTAATCCTTATAAGCGGGTTGGCTTTCCCTCTTCTCTGTTTCTTTAGTGTCATTCGGTGAGGTAAAGCTTCCATCTTCGATCGACTTCACTCGTTTGCATGGGATAGAGCTTCGAACAAGTCGCTTTCCATTGTCTTTCTAGGGTTTGATTTTTCTCTTCTGTATTTATTTGTTGTTGTTGTACTTAACATAAAATAGAGTTCTGAAAGAGTTGAAGCTTCTTCGCCTCCTCCAAGTATACTTAACTTTGGAGTTTCTAATGAAATTTCGATAGCTACATCAAAAGGTGTCTTGATGCTTAAAAGTTTAATTATATTTTCTTAAGGGATTTCTCAAATTCTCCCACTTAGATAACTCACGTCAACGTTAGTAACTTTAGCCCAAAATCATCCACTGAGCAAAATGTATATATATTTAGGCTAATGTATTGTTATGATACCTTCGTAACAACTAAGATTCATAAATATTAAGATATTATCCGCTTTTATCTAATGGCCTCACGATTTTAGACCATTAATGTATTTTCCCAAGAGTTCGTCCATCCAGGAGTGCTCCTATAATAGCATATTTAACTTTGGAGTTTCTAAAAAAATTCAATCTTACACAAAAAATAATAATTTGATGTTTGTGATTTTAGTTTTATTTTTTAAATTAAGGGGATTTTACAATCTCCTCTACTTAGATAACTAACATTTTCATCAGTATCCTTAGCCTCAAATCATCAACCAAGCAGATAGGTAGTTTTTATCTTTCGGCTTATGTATTGCTCTGACACCATTTGTAATTATTCAAACTCTTGAATATCGATATATTGTTCACTTTGGACCAATGGCCTTACAGTTTTATCATCTTTGTATAACTTCCTAGAAGATCATTCATCCCAAGAGTGCTCCTATACCATTATACGAGTACACTTAATTTTGGAGTTTCTAATTAAATTCTTACCATTACGCCAAAAGGTGTCACGATATTTAAGATATTACCTTTATTTTCTCAAGGAATTTCACACTTTATACACTCTTCATATACATAATTAGAGAATTATCATCATTGTTTGTTTTTTTAGAAAAATAAATCTGAAAAAAAAAAAAATTCGACCAAATTATCTTTAATATGTAAAAAATATTAGTCATAGCTATCATAGTCATGACTAATGCAAACCTTTCTGCTCAAACTGTAGCTGCTTAAACTTTCCTCTTCTTAGCACATTATTTATCTCTGATGATCTCAGAGCTTATGTGAACAATCACCACTAAAGCTTCATATATATGATATTTACATTGATTTTTTACTATTAATTATTTAGGTTTAAATACATTTAAGGAAAAAGTTTTAGGTTATAATAAGAATGAGACAAAGGAGAACTTATCAGATGCAAAATTAGATAGAATTTGGACCCATAAAAGAAGAAGATGATGCTAAACCATCTCTTATTTTATGTCTGAAGCAAATTCAAAGTTAATAATAATTAAAGAAGGAGAATAAGAAGTATTTGACTAAATATTCATAGATTCATCAGGCAAAAGACACAAGCTAAATAATAAGATAATTAGTATAATAGTCTACTTATTATATGATAATTTTTAACCATATGTTGTTCACTAGAATTTCAATAATTTTTGTAGAACATGGATGCTTTGAATTATCTAACAAATGATTAGGCATTATAGTTGTTGCGTCCTGGAGTATTCGCGGCGGTAGACAAATATATAGTTTAACATCTTAGCAATGTACGAAAATCCAGCACACAAGTAGATAAGAGAGAGGGTGTAGCGTTCATAAGAGGCACCAGAGTTTTTACGTGGAAACCCCTGAAAATGGGCAAATTATTGGGTCAGGTGACCGGAGCCAAAAGATAAGTTCGGACAGCCAATAAAAATTTGCCGCGTCATCTTGCGCTTTAGTTGCGCTTTTTGACTTGCGCTTTAGTTGCGCTTTGGTTGCGCTTTAGTTGCGCTTTGGTTGCGCTTTAGTTGCGCTTTTTGACTTGCGCTTTAGTTGCGCTTTGGTTGCGCTTTAGTTGCGCTTTGGTTGCGCTTTAGTTGCGCTTTGGTTGCGCTTTAGTTGCGCTAATTTTAAAATAATATTTTATTATTATCCGAACCTATCTCTGCGTTCAGTCACCTGACCCAATAATTTGCCCTAAT